TTTGATGCTTGGCAACAGTTACAATTTATATTTGTAAATTGTAGTTATGTTGAAATTAAAAAAAATTACTATTTTTGCATTGTATGAAAATTTTTGTTGCTCCGTATAAAATTTTTAATCAAGCCCACTCACCCACCCTGGTCAAAGGTGTCCCTCTTTACCAATCTGAAAATCTGGTTACCTTATCTCTATCCATTTATCTAGAGGTGAGTATCTTTGAGGTCTAATTCTTAAGAGTTTTAATTCACAAAGGCAATGGTAAGAGCCAAAGGGCTGAAAGGCACAGAACCCACAAGCTTTCAACAAGAAAGACTCCTTACAAGAAACGGTTTGTGCTGGCCTTGCTATTGAGACCAGCAATACAATCCAGATGGTTTAGAATGGAAGCTCAAGCCCTGAATTGTCCAACTGGCCTGTTAGAGATAAACCAATGCTGCAAATAATGTCTTCACCTTGACGCTCTTATGACCAGTTGCCAGAAACATTGACTCATTTTCTAGTTTGATTTTTTGGATGCAACAGACTCAGTTCACTCTTTGCACTCTGGAGTATGGAACAGTTTAGCTACCTCAGCTGACTCTTGAACTGCTAACTGACCTTGTCTTTGCTAAAATCCTTGGCTCATTGTTACTTGACTAGAAGGAAAAGTTGTTTCCTTGCCAAGCACAGTGGTTCCTCTAAAACAAAACGACAAAACGGCTTGATTGGTTTTAGAATGAACTATCTCCTATATAAGCCTCAAGTGGCAGGCAAGCTTTTGCTCTATGCTAAAAGCCATAGCAAAATCAAAACATATTTTAATACAAGTCCTATGTTTTTGCATAGAATTTTAATCATGAAGAGACAAATACTATAAAAAGAAATGGACAAAAATATTCGTAGTTTGCAAAAAATGAGCTATTTTTAAAGAATTGAAATATTATTCATTTTCATGTATTTATGACCATAACAAAAATTTTAAAGAATGTTTGAAAGTAAAGGAGGGGAGGGGAGGGCAAAGGAGAGGAGAGGAGAGGAAAAGAAAGG